ACTTTACAGACCATATTCCTCGCAGCTTTATAAATTTGACGATCTACTTCTAAACGAGATTTCCGCCATTTTCGCTCAGCACGTCTTCGTACACACTTGGTGTGATGAGTCGTTGTACCAAGGACAATCGGAACGCTGAATGAAAGTTCTTTCCTTAATAGGAGCATGTTTGTCGAGTAAATCCCGAAGAACAGTGTTATACTGACGAGTCAAGCTTTCAACATTTGACTCAGGGTGTGCTATGAGGTCAGATATTAACAGGTCACCACAGAATTCGATCTTATCTATCTTTTAGAGAACGCGACAGGTCTTCGTGATCTTATTATTCCCAGGTCTCTGCACATTGAGTGACATCTTGATCATTGAGTGATCTGACACCAGTTTATCTTCAACGCTGACACTATTGATCAATGCATCTTCATCCTCTGACGTCACCACCTAGTCAAGAATATGGCCTGATTTGTGAGTAGGGGTCGTAACATGTTGTTTCAAAGAATGAGCCTTCAGCAGAGAAAGTACTTTCCTTACGTCAGACCTAGTTACATTGTCAACATGAATGTTGAAGTCACCAATAAACAAGGTGTGCCTCCGTGGATATGCTGCAAAAAGCCGAGAAAGGTCTTCATGAAAGTCAAAATGTGAGAGTTTGTTTTTAGATGATGGCGGTGGTCGATAGAGACATACTATCCTAACTGTCTTGTTGAAAGCTGCTATGGTTACGTCTATATGCTCGAATGATACATAGGAATCCTTAGGGTGTACTATGTCGACAACGAGAGATGACCTATAGATGATAGCCACGCCCCCACCTCTGCCTGATCGAGAGACATGTTTCAATGTGAAACCTCCTGGAGTCATGTCGGCTATCACAGCGTCATCACCTTGCTGACGTAACCACGTCTCAGTGAGAAATAGTGCGTCAATATCACCATCGAGAAGCATGTCTGAAATTTCGATATGAATTCAATTATTGTTCCATTTCACAAATATATGAAAACCCCGAGCATTTTTTCATTGTGTAGGCATTTGTCCACCTTGTCTGTTGGAATGTTCCATTTATGTAATGGGGAGAAGATACTGCTGCTTGAAATCACTGGTGCATTACTTTGTTTATTCTACACTGTAGGCATTTGTCACTGTAGGCATTTGGAGACTACGCCGACTATAACCTTCTAGCGCCTCACAGGCAGCTTGGGCTATCAGGGGTAATAATAATCAGATTGTGATTACAGCGCCCAGTGAACAACTTGTCAGATGGATACAATGCTCTATATAAATGAATTAATATAACTCGACCACGTGAGAACGGCGTTATACCCAACTGATTGATTTCTTGTATCAAAGTGCGTGGATGTGTACAGTATATTCAACACCCATACTTGTGAGTAATGAAAATCTAGGTAAGAATTGGTCTTCAGGAATCCATGATTGTCTTAAGGCGCGACCAACGCTATCGGGTGGTCTTGGTTGACAGATGCCATTGTATCCCAATTGCGTAGATTGATGCTCATGCTGTTGATCACTGGATTGTCGAGCTCCAGACTCGATTATCAACAGACCCCGCCATATAGCTTGAGTATTGCTGAGTGCGGCGTAAAACAACCAAAAGCTAATACTTGTGACGCAACATATGTGGGTATTATACGGCTGCTTCGTCGAATATGGTGAATAACAAGGTTAACGTCACGATGGAAGGTGCTATATTTTAGATTCAAATGCACATGGAGTTCATCTTCCAAAAGACACCACTTTGAGGATCCATCAACAGGTAAGTGATAAATCCCCAAGGAAGCCCCTGGGTACAATTATAAAGGACCCTGTACATAACGTGTCTCTCATGTAAGTGATCATGAAGTGGACTAAAAATCTTACCAACAGAAACGTTATCTGTACTGTTATACAACGGCGGATATCTGACGACGCAAGTTGACAGCTTACTGACCTACCATGTGGGACGGTGGGGTAGCCTAGTGGATAAAGCATTCCCTACATGGGTACAATGCACAGAGCCCTTTTCTGGTATCCCCCGCCGTGATATTGGTGGAATGTTGCTGAAGCCGCGTAATTTTAAGTGAACTCACTCTGTAATTGCAAACTTATGCCTGAATTCTAACAATCGGCATAGCTACTGACTACAAGGATTATCTCAGAGGAGTGAGTGAGTTCAGTTTCACGCCGCTTTAAGAAATATTCCAGCAACAATTGTACCCAATTGGGGAATCGAACCCAGTTATCTCAGAGGAACATCTGACTAGTTCAAATGTGGCATGTGGGTGTAGGATACAATTTCAATTTCATTCTTTCTGAAAAGATCAAGCAACCACTGACTTCAAGTTAAGTCAAGCAATGGCCACAGCTTATGTTAAAGAACATGATAGTACGCGCGGCCGATTGATCAGCCTTTTTAATATGATTTCACCAGAGATAACCGTCACCCCAAGCAACACATCTGATCTATGCTTGTCAGGACACAGGTTTTATTAGGTAATGAAAGAAAATGTCCTCGGTCAGTATTGCAAATTTCGGCTCTTTAGAAAAAAGGTGTCTTTCTTCCCCCTGTCTCACTGGGCAGTCCTGAATCCAATCTAATTGTCACCCTCTGCCTCACTATGTAGTCCTGAATCCAATCTAATTGTCACCCTCTGCCTCACTGTGTAGTCCTGAATCCATTCTAATTGCCACCCTCTGCCTCACTATGCAGTCCTGAATCCATTCTAATTGTCACCCTCTGCCTCACTATGTAGTCCTGAATCCATTCTAATTGTCACCCTCTGCCTCACTATGTAGTCCTGAATCTAATCTAATTGTCACCCTCTGCCTCACTATGCAGTCCTGAATCCATTCTAATTGTCACCCTCTGCCTCACTATGTAGTCCTGAATCCATTATAATTGCCACCCTCTGCCTCACTATGTAGTCCTGAATCAAATCTAATTGTCACCCTCTGCCTCACTATGTAGTCCTGAATCCAATCTAATTGCCACCCTCTGCCTCACTATGTAGTCCTGAATCCATTCTAATTGTCACCCTCTGCCTCACTATGTAGTCCTGAATCTAATCTAATTGTCACCCTCTGCCTCACTATGCAGTCCTGAATCCATTCTAATTGTCACCCTCTCCCTCACTATGTAGTCCTGAATCCAATCTAATTGCCACCCTCTGCCTCACTATGCAGTCCTGAATCCATTCTAATTGTCACCCTCTGCCTCACTATGTAGTCCTGAATCCAATCTAATAGCCACCCTCTGCCTCACTATGCAGTCCTGAATCCAATCTAATTGCCACCCTCTGCCTCACTATGCAGTCCTGAATCCAATCTAATTGCCACCCTCTGCCTCACTATGCAGTCCTGAATCCATTCTAATTGTCACCCTCTGCCTCACTATGTAGTCCTGAATCGAATCTAATTGCCACCCTCTGCCTCACTATGCAGTCCCGAATCCAATCTAATTGTCACCCTCTGCCTCACTATGTAGTCCTGAATCCAATCTAATTGTCACCCTCTGCCTCACTATGCAGTCCTGAATCCAATCTAATTGTCACCCTCTGCCTCACTATGCAGTCCTGCATCCAATCTAATTGTCACCCTCTGCCTCACTATGCAGTCGTGCATCCAATCTAATTGTCACGCTCTGCCTCACTATGTAGTCCTGAATCCAATCTAATTGTCACCCTCTGCCTCACTATGTAGTCCTGAATCCAATCTAATTGCCACCCTCTGCCTCACTATGTAGTCCTGAATCCATTCTAATTGTCACCCTCTGCCTCACTATGCAGTCCTGAATCCAATCTAATTGTCACCCTCTGCCTCACTATGCAGTCCCGAATCCAATCTAATTGTCACCCTCTGCCTCACTATGCAGTCCTGAATCCAATCTAATTGTCACCCTCTGCTTCACTATGCAGTCCTGAATCCAATCTAATTGCCACCCTCTGCCTCACTATGTAGTCCTGAATCCAATCTAATTGTCACCCTCTGCCTCACTATGCAGTCCTGAATCCAATCTAATTGTCACCCTCTGCCTCACTATGCAGTCCTGAATCCAATCTAATTGTCACCCTCTGCCTCACTATGCAGTCCCGAATCCAATCTAATTGTCACCCTCTGCCTCACTATGTAGTCCTGAATCCAATCTCATTGTCACCCTCTGCCTCACTATGCAGTCCTGAATCCAATCTAATTGTCACCCTCTGCTTCACTATGCAGTCCTGAATCCAATCTAATTGTCACCCTCTGCCTCACTATGCGGTCCTGCATCAGATATAGGTTTGCACCCTCAGACTGACAACACCCCTGATTCCCATTCAATTGTTCACACCCCAGTACGTCTAATTGCTCCACCCAGATTTTACGTACATTAATTACACCATCCCATTTTAAAATGTGTAATCTGTATAAAAAGTACGATAATATATATATGTCACTTGCTTGACAACGACATTAGAACCTATGTCGAAACTAGGATAAAAGAAGTTGTATATCCATAATATTTGTCATTATTCTTCATCAACTCTACTTCTAAAATACCCATCAAAGAAGATAACATATGTGCCCGACACAGCCGAATTCCGAATACCCTCGCAACTGAACCGGGAATCCCCAGTAACAGCCTACTACGCCTCAGTTGAATATCAGATAACCTGCATACATGAGTCAGTGTTGCTCCGGGAGAGACGACCTACATAATACTAGTAACCTATATACTTTAATGGCGAGCTCCAGGTGATTCGCGACAGACACACTCACTCAACGATCGATGTAAAACGGCTGTATGTTGACTGCCTGTTTGCAATGAGAGTGACACAATAGCTAAATATGAGTTCACATTTTGTATGCCATCACAACATCACACACAAAGCCTGCGTTTCTGAGCTTCTGCTGGTTTTCCTCGAAAAAGGTCTATAAATAGATATACGGCCTTACCTAGAAAAGAGGGAGGAGAGAGACACAAGCCTGCGTAATAAGATTGATAAACTGTGTATTAATACACAAATACCTACCATTAGGTAACGGTCCCGTAGCATGCCAGTAAAGTATCCATAATATACTGGCTCGTGGCAGCCATTGTTTCACAGAAAATATCAATTTTGTATGTCGATAGTTGGGTGTTCGTGCAGAAGCCTGGCTTTCCCCAGCAAGCTTTATAAATACGACCCAGACAATTTCCGCTTGTGTTTACCGCCCTGTGCAAAGCAATCGTATCTCCCTAGGCTGATCTGAATGCCCTGAATTCAAGTTTGCATGAGACTGACTGACTGAGTTTAGTTTTACGCCGCTTTTAGCAATATTCCAGCAACATCACTGCGGGGGACACCAGAAATGGGCTTCACACATTGTGCCCATATGGGGATTCGAACCCGGGTCTTCAGCGTGACGAGCCAACGCTTTAACCATTAGGCTACCCCACCGGCCCAGTCTGCATGAGATTTTCATGAGCTCTGAGAGTTGCCGGATTTACCTATGTGCTTTCCAGCTATCATCCAAGGTCGGTGGGATAGCCTAGTGGTTACAACGTTCGCCCGTCAAGTCGAGGACCCTGGTTCAATTCCCCACATGGGTACACTGTGTGAAGCACATTAATTGTCTGGTGTCCCCCGCCGTGATATTGCTTAAAGCGGCGTAAAACCACACTCACTCACTCTGTCATCCCCTGGTCCATGTTATGCAAATTGTCATTTGTAGTAACGTGAGTGTAAATATTCGGCCATATTAAAGCTGACCATCAGGATGTCTGTAAGTAAATCAAGCTAGGACCAGGTAAACCATTGCCTTCAAAGCAAAAGTAGCGACTGGCGATGCACATACAGCCTGGCCACTAGATAATTTCTTGTTGAATTGTACCACAAATATATAAGCGACTTGGACCAATTCAACCTCGTTTTAAAACCACCGTAACAATATTGTTTGGCATACATGCATAAAAAAACCCAGTTCGAATAGTCTGGATGTGTAAGCTTTACCGCCGCTATGAACAGTATTCCAGCAATTTCAAGACTGAACGAAAGCCAAGAGTACCTTTTAAGAGAAGCATGCGCCGATGACATACGTGAAACCCACGTGCGCGTGGGTGGTAGTTACAAAGCTAGAAACATAATCGTGAGAAGTGCTGTTTCCTGATTGGTGGTCTATTCCCAGATATATCTGTTGTATATCGGCATATTCATAAATTGAAACATTTGCAGAAGAGCTGTGGATATACATGAAGGATTTGAAAGTAGACGGTAAGAAACGCCTTGGAAAATCTACAAACCCCTCAGACTCGACGAAAATAATTATTATGTACCGTACGTTCAGTATTTTTTATTGTTAAAACCACGCTCATAGTCATTCCGAAAAGACAGCCTGTAATGAATTAGTATTCGATCCTGGATTACCCAGACAAGCGACAGATATGATCAACAACGATCCACGCCGATAGAGTCTGTTGACAGTTCAGCTGATCACACCCATGTTACCTGGGAACATGCTAATCTGCGATCCCTGTTGTGACCCTGTGTTATGTGAACGATGGATTGAATGTTCTTAAATCTGGCGCTATTACCTTTTCTGTTTGTAAATAATAATGTAACGAATGAATTATGTTTTTTAGAAACCCATCTATACTTAATACGTAAAACGTGTATAAATACAAACATGGTCTCGTCGCTACATGGCTGAAATAATCCCGATGCGACGTAAAAATAAACTCAACTCAGTTACTGAGAAGGTAAATAAATATGTCATTACAACATTCGTTACAATTTTACACTTGACAACTTTAAAAAAGACATTGAGTTATCCTATCGGAAACGCATCGTAAAATGACATCATAAATAAATGACATTCGTTGACAAAGACTCGTGTCCTATTTACCTGGCTTCGACCTATCTCACCTGTGTCACGACTGAACCACGTGCTTATCTGTGTGCTTTACTCGAAATAGGTGATTGCCCTGCGCTATATAACCCTAACGTTTATGATATTTCTACAGTAATATAATTACTGTAATATATTATATTTATTAAACATTATCTATATTCATAAATATCATGTTTGTACCGAACTTTGTACACTTCGTTTAATCGATGCTCATGATATTATTCACTGGATTGTCTGGTTCAGACTCGATTATTTACAGATCTCCGTCATTTGGCTAAACATTGCTGAGTGCGGTGTTGAACAACAAATAATTAAACAGTCAGTGCGTTATATGTTTACGTTGATGCTCATTAAAAAGAAATGCATTAATGGCAGAAACAAATGTTCGTGTACAACATTTCCTTGCATGTCCAAACTAGAAGCACACTTGTGCTGTGCGCACAACACAAGGAAGTAATGTATTTTTGAACTTGGCAGGAGATAGATTTATGTGTACTTCATGTACTTCCTTCTTCAAGTTGAGGTCTTGTGTTCTGACTTGTTCAGGTCTACTGCATTTCTATATCGTTGCTGCTTTTACTAGCCCTGGATAAATGTCGATTCTATAATGCCAATTCACCGAAATATATTGAGAGAAATAAATAGGTTCACAGGAAAATTCAAGCGCTCTTTTAATATTTTCCAGCTTTGAATAGCGCTGTGGTGATGGAAACTGGAAAATAATAAAGGAACGCTTGAGTTTTCCTGTGATCCGTTATTTCTTTCTCTCAGTATACCATAAACTCGATACCTCCTTGCCAGTTGCTATGCTTTTCAAGCAAATGGCCATTACTTATCATCAATTTTAATTCTATATATAACTGGAGTTCTTTGTACACCTTGAGACTAAAATATATAATTATACAAGTGGCTGGGAGCAAAACGAAGATCGTGATATCAATAAGTTCGTTATAGTCATGTACTTTATAAACGTGGTTTATTATGAGTAACTTTGAGTGACTATCGAGTGTGTTATGTACAGAGAAAGCGGAAGTAATATATCCATAGACAGGGCGGTGTCAATGTGACCAAATTTCATTTAGAAATCAGGACATGGTTACGAAAATATATCCCTTTTCAGTGAAAGTTAAATGTAAGTGACATGATCTCTCTTGTACACAATTAGCTTTGAATCACACACACACGCATGCACACATACACGCGTCCGCTACTTCAGGCTAAAATTGTGATTCAGTATCGATAATTGTTCCACACAAATAACAAGTCTGTAAGAGTGAAAATCAGCCTCAGGAAATCCCCACGTGAAAGGTGAATTATCTAGCATAACGACAGTCGCCTAAAACACACAAAAAAGTCTTCGGTTGGAGGAAACGTAGAGCAAATGTCTTTACACTTAATTCTACCCACAAAACCTTCCTTCATCCTTGTAATTTTCTTCCTCGTTCCATAAAACAACCCAGGCAAAAAATCTGTGTTGACTGCATGGACATTCCGTTCTTGTCTAGTGAATATCTCCAGTTAAATTACATTTGTTACGTCATTCCATTGTCTGCTCGCTCCATTACTTTTCAGGAATGGAGCGATGTGTACCAGTTTCAAATTAAAGCCTTCATTTTGTCATTTTGACATTTAATTTTGATAACAGAAATATTCCCAATACTTTGAATGTAATTTAAGTAGGGTAATATCCTCGTAACTCTCCATTCCTTAAAAATAATGGCCATTACTTATCATCATTATTTTTAAGGAATGGAGACTTACTCGGACATTACCCTCTACATATTACAAATCTCATGAACGGCAATGATGTAGAAGTAATGTCAGAAATTCCTAGGACACATTGATAGGCCTTCAAGGTTTACGTAAGGCGCTAGTATCTGCAGAAAGCCATTGTCTTGAAAAAGCTCCTGAAACTTTACTTGATAGATTAATGTTATCACAAGCAAGTTGACTAGATCGATGTGAATGTCAGTCACTGGATTGTCTGGTCCAGATTTGGTTCTTTACAGAAGGTTGTCGTGTAACTGGAATACTGCAGCATGAACAACAAGGTGAGGTGAAATTGGGGTTAACGTCGTGCTTGAGAATATTTCGCTCATATGACGACGTTATGAACAACAAACGTATGGAGGCAATAAAGAAGGCCAACCTGTTGTCAGTACAATCCATCCCGTGAACGACCGCAGCACAGTCGTTGGTGACGAGATGGTACTTTGATTATCACTTCTGCTGATGCAGTCAGTGAAATTAGAGTGCCACAGAAAAAAATTCCATTTATGTCAGGTGGTCCTAAACAAAATAACTCGCTTTGTCATCAGGTTTGTTTTGTATTTGTGCGCGAAGCGTTTAAATATTTGGGTAAGGCAATCATTTAAAACCTGTTCCTAGTTTCTGTATTTGATAATATATTGTTCTCTATTTCCATTTCTATATTTATATAGAGTCTGAAATTGCATAAACTACGCATGAACGTCACGCAGCGATTCGAAATCTGGTCCAGACAAAAACGATTCATCTCAATGAACATCAAACATCAGCATAGTTATACACATATTCTCCCTCAACTGAACCGGTATACAACCCGATATCATTCCCTTCCTCTGTCATAGGGATTTAAATTTCCCTTCCCTTATTCTCCACAATTGCCTCGATTCAGTTCACATTCTGTATAAAAACCGCTCCACGGTACATTGAACTTGAATCATCATATGCATGCGCACCAGGCGCTTCCTTCATCATTGTATTAAAGGACAGAAACTCCATCTCCATCAAATCGATAACGTGAACGGATGACATGGAAACAGTGTTAATTCACATCGAGGCATGATTTCTCTTGTCATTGTGGACGTCCATTTTGTCAAGTCAAACTGACGCAACTTATGGGTCATAATGCAATATCATAGATACTATGACTCAGCAATAACCTTGTTTTGTACCGAAGAATATCTAAAATCGTCGGAGCTCCTTAATCGTACTGAAATCAACTAATGCTCCATTGGACTGTTCACATGTCAATCAATCAGTACAGATCTTATGTGATATTAGCATTAACTTGTTGCTGTTGGGCCAAACGTTTAAAACACGGACTGTATCAATTACAATATCGAAGAGGGATACATTCGTAATCAATTTAATGAAATGGAATGGAAGTGTATGCATTGTTTCATAATAAGTGAGTGAGTTTAGTTTTACGCCGCACTCAGCAATATTCCAGCTTTATGGCGGCGGTCTGTAAATAATCGAGACTGGATCAGACATTCCAGTGATCAACAGCATGAGCAT